CATTCACTGCCATTGACAACAAAAGTCGTCATTTTAAATCCAACCGTTCACTGTCAATGACGACTAAAATAATCATTTGCGTTTTTTTACTGCGTGGGCGTCGGAACGAGCCCCCGCAGCATGAGAACGAACATCCAATCTCTGAAGCTGATCTTCATCCGCATTTGTCACACGTCACATGATCAGGAAGCAGAAAATCCATGTGTTCATTTTGGGCCGCTGCCATTAAAAAGTGAGGCGCAAATCGGAAAAGCTACTCAGATCACTATTTGAAAACGAAATTATGAAAGAACGGATAACGCTCGAAATGCGCAGATTCTTCCTAATGTAAGAGTTGAGTCTACTTTTTGTTTTGGTAGTTTTGGTGTCGACATCCTAGTGTGCAACGTTTCTGTGACTCTTAAAAAATAGTAAAAACGCTGGCAGCGAAAGGCTTTTCTGATTAGAAAATGGCTGGCAGTGAATGAGATAATATGTCAAACTACTTTTTGTTTTCCCATTACCAACAGCTAGCAGTTAGGCAATCAGAGGAGAGATGTCAAAGTATCAGGAAATAAGACTCCAAAATCTGCAATCTTCTCTCCTCTTTGCTGGCTCACTGCTAGTTCCTGAAACAGGAGCGCTAGAGCTTTTTTTCCCCGGCGTCAACTCACAAGGTACTCACTTGTACTTGAGGCCACTTCAGATATGTTAAAACACAAATGAACTTGGTCTTTAAAGTGAGGGTCAAGACATGAGTGGAGACGTCTTTCATCCACATTTCCTGTTAGGAAAATGCTTCTGAAAAAGGCGTCGCCTGGCGGACAGAGAGAGCGGCATTGAGCCAGTTGTAGACCGCACCCCCCTCAACCCCCTGCTTGTGCTGTCGGAGTTTCTCAAGCTAAAAACAAGTTGTTAATGAGTGCGTGCGCACTCGCGCGTGCACACACTCACACAAGACTTACCGCTCAGGAGAAGAGCAGACACAGATTCTGGAGCATTCCCAGTTGACCGTAATCATTAGATGAAAAGGGGAGGAGGGCGTTTTTTTCCCAAGGAGATGTGCGGCTCAGAGCGCTTATGTGGCAAATCAGCAGGTGAGTGGCTGAGCCAGGTGGAGGTGCGGCTGGCTCACCTGGAGACCAGTGCAGTGCAGCCACGCAGTAATTTGCTGACAACGTCACGTTTTTCAGCTTAGCCATCAGCCACAGCTGATTTTACATGAAGGTGGAGTTTTTAACCTGAAGATGGAGATAGTTATGGTTTTGGGCTGAAATATTAAAGTTTCACTAAACTGCTACACTAATGATTACACCTGTGTACAGCACCATTAGACACTCATCTATACAGGTTATCAGCAAAAAAAAAGTTAATTTAGGTGTTACTTGCTCTTTAAGCACACAAATTGTATTTATCAGAACAAAGATATGTTACACCACCTTTATGTTTTATAGGTGTATGAATAATTTCTTCTTCCATATTTAATGGCTTTGAAGGAACAGTTTAAGGTTATGGTGCCCAGGCCTCTTAGCCAAGCTTGCGCTTTAAGTTTACATTTGTGTTTCTGCCACAGCCAAACTAGCTTTGTTTTTCTCCTAATTAGTTAAATTAGGGGAACAACATATAAAACTTACACAAATTCCATTTACATCTTACAGAAAAAAGCAATAAGAATAATCACAAGGAGCAACTGCAGAGATCCGTCCAATCCATTATTTATAAAATTAAAACCACTAAAATTCTATGATCTGGTGGACTACAATATTTTAAAATTTATGTATAATGCAAACAAAAGGAACTTACCTGCAGGTTTAATCGAAAGATTTACAAAAAGACATAGCAAATATGATCTAAAAGGTCATGAATCATTTAATGTACCTAGACATCGGATACTCATAAAGGAACATTGTGTGTCCATATATGGAGTTAAATTGTGGAATAAATTAAATACTGAAATCAAGAATGCAAAAACAATATTGACTTTTAAAAAGGAGATAAAAATGAAATGATTAACTTATATAGATCCATTACATAAATGTGAGAGGGAAGGGGGGTTGGGGGGATGAAAGAAAGAAAGAAAAAAAAAGGAAACAAGTCTATGTATGCATTTGTGTATATATGTATGTATAGAGGTCTACAACTTTATGCTTCTCTCTGTGTAACTCGTTTTCGCTTTGTTTTTGTTTTTTTCGATTCATGGGCCAACCAGTCCAGGAACAATATTGTTAAATTTTTTTTTGTATTAATGTTATTTTAGTTAAAAGGGGCAGATAACATAAGTTGTTCTTCTTTCTGTCCCCTTTTTCATTTTGGCTTGTAGTAATTTTTTTTCTGTTTTTATTTTAATGTCAATAAATGAAAAATGAAATAAAGGGGGAAAAAAGATGGTGAAAGTTAACATATTGGATCTATTGATTTGCCACACCGTATTGGGAAAATGAGAATAACGCACATTTGTAAAAATTGCGCAACATAAAACACAGAATTATTGGAAAAAAAGGAACGTGTCATTTTATTTTTTACGCTGCACTTCCGCAGAATGAGTGATACAGAAACTCTAAGATAGTCTTGCACTTTTCTCTTAACCTCTTCCTGTTTCCTGTTCTGCGGTGCATGTTAGACGGCTGGCTGCAGAGAACATTTAGCCTTGGAACACGCAAATCTGAGTTAAGCTGAGTTTATGAGTTTTTGCTACAACAACAAAAAAAAAGCCTAATTGCTCATTCAAACATGATGGAAACGCATGTAATCAGTCATATTCTGATTGAATTGTCCCTTTGCAGCCGTTTGCCTCCCACATTTACCAGCTATTGATGCCCAAAACCGCCAACATCCACCCACCTGCTGTAACACATGTAATTTATAAACTTCCCATTTAGATTTGGATAAAAAAACAAACTGATCCATAGGTTGTTTGTTCGTAATGCTTTTTTAATGAAATTGCAGTATCTGTTTACTGTGCATGCGAGTCGTCAAGTGTATAATAAGAAACATTCACATATTCAGTAACAGGCTGCAGTGTCCATATGTCCTCGCTTCCTGTACAGCAGAAGAATGCTTTTTATTTCCCATCTTTTCAGAGCTCTGCTTCCTGGTTCTGCCTCTTACAGCCGCACGTGAAGAGCTTATTTACAGTCATATTCAGCTCAAGCATGCAGAGTCGGCGGGAGTCTGCAGGATTCCCAAATTCTGTTCCACGTGTAGTGAGACGGACCTCGACCGTGGCTGTGCATGTCGATGATTGTTTATGCTTTCATTGTCTGCTTAGATATTGGAGCCACACCTCAGTTCTTACACCATCATGTATAAAACTATAAAGGTTAAAAACACTCATTTATATACCTCAAATATGGATCAAATACATTTGATTATAAAATCTAGTTTGCAGCTTTCTGCATCTTTACAAGCTGGAGAATTATACAGGAAGATGGGTCATCGACTAGAAATGAGTTGATAGCAGCAGTTAATGTTTACAGTTGGGCACAGTTCCACTACTCACACTTGCTGTGCATAAAAATATATATATTTATGAATTTTACCTTTTGGATTCAACCCTCGGTTGTCAGGAAAAAGATTTAAGCACTATTTTTAAGTTGCTCGCTGCAGAAATTCACGTGAGTCTAAAGAGAAGAAAAATGTAAGATCTGCATTTGCCTGGGAACTCTTCTGGGCTATTTTAAAGGGAACTGAAGAGAAATTGCAGCTCATTGAGGAGAAATCAGCTGAAACGTAACTAACATCAACTCTTCGCTAATTATAGAAATACTAACCGCCCTGATGTGTGTTTCTGTTGTAGTCGTAATAATGTGTCCTCCATTGTAGATGGCTTCCTGAAAATATTGTGTAAAGAATTTGGTTACATCCTATATGATTGATGTGCTAACTGCTAGTCCACACGTAGCCAAGCTCAAAGGTGGTCCCCTGCTGTCTTAAATCTGCTTCATTCCCTAAGAACTCATTCTGGGTTATCGAGTTTCTGATAAACGGTTATTAATTAGTTAGAAACACCCAATAAACCAGTTATAAGCAGTTTCGGTTCACTAAAGAGTTATTCTGACCTATTGCCAAACGTGAAGTGTCCTATAAATATTGTATCAACACTTATAAAGCTTTATAAGACATTTAGAACCTAATTAACTATTTACACCAAAATGTCCTCACTCAGGGGCAATAAAGGTATTTCCTAATTGTTTAATAAATAATAATGGGCAGTCTTATTGTGAAGTGATGCCCTGATCAGCAAAGACTGGGTTTTTCTGCCTCTGGTGGATGCATGGAACACGTCCAGTCGGCCGTCTTAGTCATTCCACCTAAATGTGTGTGATATTAAACTCATGTTGCTGTAAAGGGTTTTAGATTGAAATCTACAGTAATGGCTGTGAAATTGTAGAATTTGGAATGGTTTTAAAATGTTAAAAACACAATTTGGGGCAGCAGTAGCTCAACAAGTTGAGCGGGTTGTCCAGTAATCGGAAGGTTGCAGGTTCAATCCCGGCTCTGACAGAGAATTCTGTCGTTGTGACCTTGGGCAAGACACTTAACCCACCTTGCCTGCTGGTGGTGGTCGGAGGGACCGGTGGCGCCAGTGCTCGGCAGCCTCGCCTCTGTCAGTGCGCCCCAGGGCAGCTGTGGCTACATCGTAGCTCATCACCATCAGTGTGTGAATGTGTGTGTGAACGGATGAATGATACACTGTAGTGTAAAGCGTTTTGGAGTCTTTACTCTGAGAGGCGCTATACAAGTGCGGGTAATTTATCATTTGGTCTCAACTGCATCCAGGCTAGCCGTTAGCTTATCAATCCTGTTAGAGTCCCACCGTGTAATTAACCATTTATTTTGCCTCTTAACTAAAAGAACTGAAACAACAACACAGAGAGGAATTCTGATGGTTTTTATTTCCACATGGTTGAAATAAACTGCCCCGCCCTTAATCATCATCACCCTCATCCTCTCAGCTCACCCGCCAGCTTCTGTGTTGCTATTCATGTTTTCTTACGTCCCCTCTGCTTCTCTGCCCTCAGGTATATCCAGGACTAATGGTGACCGCGGGCCTTATCCATTACGTGCTCAACCTTCTTCACGTCACGGTCCACATCCGGGACGTGTGCGTGTTCCTGGCGCCGGTGTTCAGCGGCCTGACCGCCATCTCCACCTTCCTGCTGACGCGGGAGCTGTGGAACCAGGGCGCAGGGCTCCTGGCGGCCTGCTTCATCGCAATCGTCCCCGGCTACATCTCTCGCTCTGTGGCAGGCTCCTTCGACAATGAGGGCATCGCCATCTTTGCGCTGCAGTTCACCTACTATCTCTGGGTATGTTGGAACGTTTTTTTTAATGAATCAAAAATAAAAAGTGTTTCCTTTACCAGAAAAGTTTTAGAATAAGATTAAACAAGTTTGACTCTTTGTGGAGGACATGGTGTCTGTAGCTCTGCTTTCAAGTCTTTATCGTTTTGCCTCAGATGTTGAATCATTTATCTGCAGTTTTTAAAAGCATGCTGGTGATCTTTGCTGGCCTGCTGGTGCACAGGATACAACAAACTGTGCCTAAAAACCTTCACAATGCCATGACCTTTGAAAGTAGAAAGGAAGAGTTAATGTTGGAATAGCCCCACTCTTCTCAATTTGCTACCCTTTTTTAAAAATGCATGCAGTGCTCACAACGGGCTGTGCTTCAAAAACACAAATGCACAATAAGCTCGTTTTCAGCAGATCTAGTTCATTTTCTGTTGGGTTTTTATTTGAGCTTCCTGTGATTAATACGTGAATTTGGGTTGTCCTTGATTTTAATCGAATCGAGTTTTGACAGACAAGTTCTTTCATAATCTTTGTCCAGCTGATATTTACAAGATGTTTCATAGTGACCCGCTTTAAAGATGGAGGATTTTTGACAGGATTGCATCAGCAGCCCTGCAGCTAGCTTAACATGAAAGCTTCATACATGTTTGTCTTTAGAACTGAAAACCTCCGTTTCACACCATCATCTGCATCCTCTTTTACTCCTGTTAGAGTTGAGCTTGAATAATTTTAGATTTCTAACGGGGTGACGAATAAAATCGTATCTACCGCATAAAATCAAATCACATTTTATTTATGAAGCGCTTTTCATGCAACGAGTGCAACTCAAAGCACTGCACAATATTGAAAACTGTCAATTTCCCTCCCCTCCCCCATAGATCAACATCCCTTCTATATCTCCCTCCTCCCACCATCACTCCCATCTCACGCACACACACACACACACACACACACACACACACACACACACACACACACACACACACACACACACACACACACACAAAAGCTAAAGTGAAAGGACAACTGGATGAGTACAGATGCAATAGGCAACGAAGAAGATTGAAACACCATCAGAAGGAACCAACTGCACCGGGAGCAGCAGGATCGGGAGCAGCAGCCGTTGTACCAGGCGGAGGCACAAGAAGCACCCAGGCAGTCACAGCCAATTGCCTCTCCCGGGGCAGTTAGCCCCCAAAATGTGTGCATTCTGGTCAATAGTTGCAGATGGCAAGAAATCTGAATGAGTTAAATCACATAAACAGAAAATTCTTACCATTAAAGGGCAACTTTACTCATATTTTTTATACATTTGAAGTGGTCTTTAGTAGGAATGAAGGCCTCTATCGTTCTCTGAGGCAAACAGTTCTACATTCGTACATTAGAGGGGATGAATGACCTGCGGCAGTGTTCTGTTTTACATTTTAGATGTCACAGGGTTAGGGTTAGTGGAGTTGTGGTGGAGTTGCTAATGCTAACAATTAGATTCTACTAGCCGAGATATTCTCTGCCGTTTCCTGGATGCTAAACCAACAACAGCCTTCCCCGTCATCTGTCAAGTTGGCTGAGACGAGGAACGTTAAGTGACAGTGTGACGTAGACCTGTCAGGTTTTTCTGAACTGAGTTTTTTTTTCGTGAACTGCCTATTTATGCGAGAACATTCCCAAATGTGGCTGAATTAAACACTACTAAAAACAGCGATTTGCACAACTCTTTACCAGTCATCACAAATGATTTAATACAGTTACAGTCGGTTAAAGGGTCAGTTTGGGATTAAAGCAGGGCTGCGTGATATTTGAAAAATTTCCATTGCGACTCTAACCCTCCAATATTAATAGCAATATTAGTCAGTACAGGAATTTTTACAAACACTTGAGGTTATGCTCTAGTCCTGCCATCTAGTTTAAGTTTTTCATACTGGCTGAACAACATGATACAATCATAACAGTAGACACAGTAAACACTTTTGTCAAACTACTTGAAAATAGAGCATTGCTTACTTTCAAACCCACAATGGTCCAGTAATAGTACTTCAATAAGATAGTCCACAATCCAGCATAGTACTGCTGAAAACCTTGGAAATTTTATTCGGATGCAGCTTTCGCACAGTTTCATCATGTCTTCTGTTAGCATCCTCTCATTAGCTTCAAGCTTTTGTTCGACATCTTACCTGATCCAACAGGTGAAGGGTTACATCTTTAACCATTAGCCCACAGGTCAAAAATGCCGCCGCCTATTCTCACCTGTGTAGCTCAAACCTGTTGTGCTTTAGTAAATTTGTTCATTGATGCATCAAATAGCCAATGAAATTCAGAAAATGAGATCTCATGATGCACACTCGTAACGTTGTGAAGCTCTCTTATGTATTTGCTAATCTGAGACGTTTAAGTGTGATGAAAACAAAATGTTAAACAGAAATCTAAAGGAGCTAAGTGAGGTAGCCCTTGGTTTTTTTCTATTAAAAGCACAGAAAAGTCGAGGTTATCCTCTGTTTTTGCAGTGACTAAAGGAAAACCGTACATGGTACATACATTCTTGCACAGTGGGTATGTTTATATAATCTCCTGTTATCTCTTAGTCGTAGAAATCACGCTGTTAACAAAATCGCCTCTTGTTCCACTCGTCTGCGGTGTTGGAAAGCCGAGGTGTCAACTTATAATTAACCAATTATCAGACCTGCGGCTAAGTTAATATAGCTGGATATTTAGGTGTGCAAATTAGTTATTGTAGAATTTATTAAAGCAGAATGCATAATTTATCCCTGTGGTTTTTTTGCGAGCAGTAAAGGACCAGATTTATTAAAACTTGAGCAGCATAAAGCCCATTTTCCTGCCTGCAGGGTTACTTTTTTCCAGAATGTGCAAGCATAAGAGAGTACGTGTGCAACAGAGCTTTTAAAATCCTTTATTCTCATTTCCGATTGTAAATATCGAAGGTATAGGTTCTGTTTTTCATTTTATTTAGTTAATTCAGTCATTTGACATATTTGAGTTTAAACATTAAACCAAAAGGAAAGAATACCTTTGAGACATTTCTCCGTTATTGCTGGTCTTCTTCACTAGATCTTCTGCCTTGGATCTGCTGCTCAATGTTTATTTTATTTATATTTAGTTGCTGTTTTTATTTTTACCTTGGCTGCTCTGAAATTGTCTAGGGTTGATTACTACGTGATGGAGTGCTTCATTCCTTTTGCGTTCTTTCTAGACAGCGTCTACCACAGTTGGAGCTGTTTGGTTGTTTTGAGACCGTTTGTTCACGCCCAAAGCTCCACAGGTACGGAAATAAAACTGGTGCATTAATCTGTTTCTCTGATCTACTGACCTGGAACCATTTTAAACCATTTTATAATCAGCAGAGAGACCACCCGAGTCCAGAAGGCTGCTGGTTTGTTTCCTTAACCAGCAGAAATATTGTGGTGCTTGAAATCCTGCTGCCACAACTGGTTTGCCAATGAGCAAGGCACTGCACGCTTTCCTTCAGGTGCCATAACTATAGCTGCTGATGATTCAGCTTGGTTGTTAACTTTCTGTTATATGTGTTTAATAATAAGTTAAATGTTTGAAATTTACCTTTAAATTTGATTTGTATTTTAGCTCAAATACCCGTCGTTGGTGTTAAATTGCTCTCTGCTTATGTTTGCGACTCTAAATGAGTGTGTAAAAGCACGGTAACACATCAAGATCCTTTAAAAACCGTTGATGGCTTTTGGCTAAATACAGCGTTTAAAAAGCACATTTTCTGCTCAGAACTGTGCAGCCCTTCAGCAGTATTTATAGTCTATACATAAAGATTTAGGACAAATCTTCTATCTTGGTTTATAATTGGAGGAAGTCCCTTTATGAGCAGAACTCTGTATCAACTACAAGCAGCTGTACAGAGTCTGTCCTCACAGTTAATGCAAAGTACACACCCTTGATCTCTGGAGACATTTAAGGAGGTGATAAAGAACGTGTGCATGTGTATAGAGAACATTTTATGGCATCTTCAGGTCTCAGGAAAACACTGAGGAAAAAATAATCTGATTTCATTCAAAAATCCATCAGACTTCTGACTAAGCAGTGCGTAAGAAAAGCTCTTGGATAGAAGCGCCTCAGACAATCATCCTGCAGGTGGTGCCGCCGTCATTACTTTTGCTACAGGTATGCTATGTAAAGTTGCAGTTAGGTTGTGACATGTTGGAAGCTTGAATCTTATGCTCTGCCACTGTTGCATGTTTGAGATGTTAGGACAACATTTTGGCTGTTCTCTTATCCTCTGTTCATAGGTGTGTAATACTTTTCCACACTTGTGTTTAGGGTTGTCACGGTGTGAAAATTTTACATCACGGTTATTGTGACTAAAATTACCACGGTTTTCGGTATTATCGCAGTTTTTTTTTAAACGTGTTACATTTTCAGACAACTAAATAAACCCTGTATATCAGGAAAATATTGTCCTCGGTTTGGGTCTAAATTTTGCCTAAAATGTGTTATTTTGTAATTATGTTGTTTATTTGTTTACATTTTTCCCCTTTAGTCTTTAAAATACCAATATTTCCCCATACCTTGTTTTTTGTCTGTTTGATGTAATCATTTTAAAAGTATTAGATCAGATCCTCAGTACTCAAGTAGCCTTCTAATCAGATACCTTTTTACCCTTACTTGAGTAATAAACCCTATATCAGGAAAATATTGTCCTCGGTTTGTGTCCTTCCAGTGAGCTTTGCAGATGTGGGAAAATGTCATCAGGCAGTAATCATTGTTAAATTCATAATTATTCTCGGAGAGAGACCAACTCTTATCTGCCCCTGGGAGCCCCGTAACACTAGAAGTCCCAGAGAAGGGTCATTTAATATTTCTACCTTTGGAACCCAGAGATGGGTCGAGTGACCTGAAGGATTTTAGCTAACATTGTATAATGAGTTGTGAACAGCCACTTTTGTTTTGTAAATAAGGTTTTCCAGGTCCAGCTGTGAGCAAAGACCAGAAGCATTTGTGTCCAAGTCAAGAGGACTTAAATTTCAGCATGAGAGATA